ATTGTAAAGTTGAGTTTTAGTGGTACTTGAGTAGAATCGTAAAAGTCAAGAGGAAACGGGCCCCCGGTTGTCGTTTGCCGCAATAAGCGGGAGATGCTAAAGGGAGTTTCCCCAAGCTGGAAGTATCTAGTCCGTCGGGGGGCCGGCCAGCAGTTTTCAACAAGCGGCAAGTCGCTACCGAGTTTATATCTTCGTATTATATAGGAACAAGACGGAACTGAACCGACCAGATTTTGATGGCTGGACAACGGAAGACTTGTACCTTGACACAAAATAATAGTGCTCTCGGGTTCTAATCTTGTGCAGTAGCAAGAAGAATTTTACCTGAGATTTTATAGTCCGTTGTTCGTCGTATTATCGTGACTTTTGTTTAGAACATTGATATAATATTTTTTACAAATGTAAATTACAAGTTAAACATAATTTGTTATTAACGGAATTATTTGCGTATATGTCTCTTGGGCTGTGTTGAAACTGGGGATTTTCTCGCTTATTCCTGACAAAAGCCTGTTCGAAACTTCTAAGCAATGTGCACTCTTCCACAGGACTACGTAAACATACTACAAATTGTTTTCGCGTATAACAATTACAATGTAGTACAATTGTATCTAATGATTTCTTTGAAGCAAATAACGCATGCAAATAATATTTAAACAAATAGGCCATATCTCAAAGAAAACAAAATGCAGTTCGATATAAACATCATTTGGCAAATACTGAAATTCAACAAAATTAATTTTCTAGACCATTCGAAGATTTTACGAATGATTTTATTAATTTATTAGTTTTCTGTCTTGCTCCTAGTCACTTGAAAAAACTGAAATGTTTCTTGGTTAATGGTTAAACTCTATACACAAACATCTTTCATTTCAGGAGTGACAAATCTGAACCATTATAAAAATGAAGGTTACTTAAAATTTAAATTCTGAAGACGAGGTGAGTGTGAAGATGTAGGGAGGAGACGGGCAGATAAGGAGCAACAGCGTAACACCACTTATATTTACATCCCTTGAAAACCTCAACTCCTGCTATAGTTATCGAAAAGTGGATTAAAAATTAGGATCTTAGACTGTATTAAAATTGTGCAGTCTAGTCATTAAACTGATTAGGTTGTGGGTTTATCTTTGACCAGAAAGTAGAAGGAAATAATATGTTTAAACAAGCCAAGTCTTACGGCCGCAGAGGACGTGGAATGGGTGTGGAGGTACCTCGTTCAGGACAGCGTCCAGCAGCGAGCTGGTATTACTAACACAGTAATGAACATTTGAGTTTCATTGAAGCTGGGGTTTTCTAGACGAGCTTCTGAAGAACTCTTCTCCATGGGTTGAGGAAGATTTAAGATTTAATGTCTAAAACGTAGTTTCATACACTACAGTCTAGCTTATTTGGTTAGGCCTACATTTATTTCCACCGGTCAAGGTAACAGCTGTATTAGTCCACTTCTATACAATTATATGATCTTCTGTTTGCTGTGACTGTTCATTCATGTTTATTTGAAGAATGTCTAGTACAAACGTGAAGAACACAGAGTATTATTTAGACAAATAACCTATAGCAGTAAAATATGCAGCATCAATATATGATTTTCCGAAGATGATAGAAAAGAAGGGTTTGCCTTAACGAGAATTATATAAAATTATATTAGAAAACTTTTAAAACGTTTACTGAGGACAGTCTTAAATATCGGTATCCGTTACGATACAATTTAAATGCATGAGCAAATTTATGAATTAGATTCCACAATCAAGAAAGTTATATGAGCGGAACGTTTTCAAATAAAAGGAAACAAAGCGCTTTGTATATTAATCGGTATTCAGTTCATTGTTTCGTTTGTTTCAAGGCTAGTTGACACTTCCGTACATTGGACTCAAAGATGTTCCTTTTTTATATTCCTGAACGCTGACAGTAGCTGTGTGTAAAAAAATATATTAGTTTATAATTTCCTTACGTATCTTGTAATAGTTCCTGCTAATGCCTCTAGCTGGTGCTGTGTGCAGCGTTTTCGAATTTTCCTCTGTCTGGTGCTTTGAAACCAACTGGCTGTTGTGGACTTGGGTGGGGATGAAGTATGGAATGAACAGGGAGGGAAATGAAATAGGTATAGATGCTTCTTCATATATTTTATGCGGGCGCAAAGAATACCCACAGGCTGCTGTGTATTCTGTATACTATCTCACACATACTAAGTTAGGTTACAGTTGCTACTACGTGTATAAGAGAGAAGCATAATCGTAGGAACTATGTTTCGTTAGCGGATGAACATCCCATTGAAAGTGGGGAGGCATTCTGCCCTCCGTGACGAATTTGATTCTG